ACAAACACTAATATACAAGAGTCCCTTTCCTTGTATTTCGGATGTGGTACTTGGATGGTCCCATAATACAAATCGACACATTCAAAATTTATACTGAAAAAGGAGTCAATTTAATCCAATTGCTTCAAGACAATTGAGTGAAACTGAATCATTACAATTTCTCGTTCAAACGCCCATTAGTCTTATTGGCGTATATGGACTAAAATATTTGTTGAACTTTGGAGTTTTTGTTATTGTTGACAAATTTAAACTTTGGAGCTGGTAGGTACATTGGTTCGGCATTGCTTGTAAAGGCAAAAAGAGAGCAGTTGGTTGCTGATAATAACATAATGTGCACATACGAGTTTCCTAACAGGACTTAATTAATGATTTGCATTAAATGTGCCATTTTTCTATTAATCATACCAACTTCCAAGTTGCTAGCCTCTGATTAATTAATAATTACGCAGTTGTATTGACGAAGACTTAATTCGCTGACTGTATGTGCGATAATGACTTTCCTATGTCCACTCTTATTAATATGTTGTATTCATTCATACGTGGAGCCACATAGCTAAAGAGTAAAGTTGTCAACCCGCAAGTTGATCAGGATCCGGTCGATCTAGTGGGTCAAGCGTTAACGAGTCATCCATTTTAGCTCGTTTTAGCTCGGACATATAGAAAGAGTCATTATATTGTACATATCCTGATAAATTATATCAAATTTCTTCTAATACATGAGTAATAACATATAATATTACACCAAAGTAACATGTCGTACTTAGATCCAACATATAGTGAAAATTCATACACACTTATATAACATCAATATTCAAATGTTCAACTAAGGATTCCAAATATAGAGTTAGGCAAAAAGAAAAATCGGAAAATAGTCGTAGTTCGCAAACCAAAGAAAAAAATGACACAATTTAACCTCCAACCCGATACCTTGTAGCGGTCGACCCGACGGGTGCGTACGACCCGATTTTCTCATCGATTCAGGATCAAAGTGGGTCGACCCGCGGGTTGACAACCTTGATATAGGGCGAGCAAATGTTTTGCCAAGAAAAACCTAATCAAATCTAGAATGTGACAGAGAACTCGATTCGGTTTTGTATTACGATTCTCCTGTATTAAAGTTCTATGAGTGTCATTGAACACAACTCAGTTGATTATTTTGAGTATTGATTTCGAAACTCATTGAGAGTTCAAGACAAGGACCCGAACCATTATCTTGTACAAAGGGTTTTGAGATCTCCAAAAGAGGATCTCTCTCGTCATCTCTGATTGTTTATATGATTTGATTTCTCCAAAATCTAAATCTTCCAAAAAATTATATATTCAATTTTCTCACTAAATGAGTTGGTTGTCTAGGTGCTGATCAAAAATTATCTCCATCTCTCCATAGATTTCGACCTGACATATAAAGAATTGTTCGTGAAAAACTGCCATCTAATTATTAATTCGATTCGACCTAGAAATATAGTGGAGAAATAGTTAATAGGAAAAATTTGGGATATTTGTCACCATCAATTGGCAATTTGGCATGGATCAAACATTAGAGTCTAAGAAGCAATTAACTATACAACGAGATGGCCGATTAATCCAGGTGTCTTTATATGCGCCCTTTTGTACCTTATTCTTTCTTGGTCTTGTCTATATAACTTGTCGTCTGCGTTTCAAGTTTTGACTAGAATTTTGGACCTACTTCATGTATTTATTTATGATTGAGCTTCTGTTGCTTGGCGCTCAAGTAGTCGAGTTTTCTCTTTAGTAGTTTTTTTAACGGTTAATTGCAAGTTTGGTCATTAAGATTACAAAAAAATGTTCATATTGGTCACTAAAAATATTTAATTCTATTTGTGGTCACTAAAATTAGTTAAATTATTTAAGTTTGGTCACTCTCCGTCCAACTTCGTTAACTTTTGCTTAGATGGCAGTCAAATTTGATAATTGACTGTTAAATGTGCCACGCGAAAATTTAAGAATCAATAAAAATTAAATTTCAATATTTCAAAATTTCCACCTCATTAGTGTAACTATTAAAAATAAAAAAGATTTCTTTTAGTTCTCGACGCGCGTCCCTAGCCGGTGAACGAGCTCCCTCCGATCCAAGCTCCTTTCTTCAAAAACCAAAAAATGTGGTTTCCGGGTAACTGGAGCCAGAGCCCCGCCGGTTTAGATACCTCCTTCTGATCGCTTGTCTCCTTCCTCATCCAAAAATGGACTTGACGACTTGGGATGCATGTGTCACACTCTTGCGGATGCTGCTCACGGATCTTGGTGGAGAACTAGATCTACAACAATTAGAATCAAGAGATTTGGAATAGATCAAGGTTGTCAACCCGTGGGTCGACTCGCATGTGTTTTCCGGTGAGGAGAATCCGGTGTTTGAACACAATGAATGCACCTTGACTTCTTGAACAACGAAAATAAACACGGTCCACTCATCTCCGAACAATGTTCGAACGAGGGTGTTTGATGTTTTTGATGGTTTTTTTGGGAACAAAGCTAAGCTAATTACACCTACTCCTATGGAGGTTCAGTGAGAGCTCCGAAAACTAAAAGGTAAGTTGCAGAGAAAAGATAAATTTTGACATTGTGCGTCAAATGTTTGGTTGTGGAACCCTTGCTTCTTCTTCGTTTCTTCTATTTATAGCCACTAGGCGTAACTGCCTTGGTAACCGCCTTGATTGGCCTCTTGCTCCAAACCGCCTCGGGGTCCCTTGTCGCCGTTTTGGTGACTAGTTGGTAACCGTCGTCTTGGGGGCCCTTGTCATGACTGGATAGGGTTGAGCCTCTTTGCCTTAGCCTCCGTGATGAAGTCTTGATCACATCATCCTTGACGACTCCACACTCTCATATTGGTAGCCACCTCGAACCGTCTTGATAGCTAGGCCATATTACCCACCTAGACAGGACGAGAACTTGGCCCCTTTACCCACCAAGTTTTCACACTTAGGCTTAGAGAGACTTTCATGGGACCACTTGTAAGTGCGTCTTGTCGGCCCTTGCTACCCGGACCTTCTTGCCATACTTAGGTTTTAGAATCTCATATTGGTATCTTGCATCGGGCCAGCTTGCTACCCCGTTAGGGGGCCAACATGCCCATCTTGGGACTCGTTGTTTGATACCTCGTTGGGTGGCCACCTCAGCTAGTCGCCATGCCTTAGTCAAATTTCTTGTCTTGTTGGCTTGATATCCTGATGTCTGGCTATCAAGTCCGTTTTATCGACTTGATACCCCTTGGGGTCATGGTACCTGTCGCCTGGCTTGGCTTCCAAGTCTGTCATGCCGACTTGGTACCTTGTAGGGGTCTTGGTACCGATGCTGGCTTGCCCGCCTAGTACCCCCTTAGCTCCATACTTAGCCAATTTTCATATCTTTTGGTATCAAGCTTACCTTGTCGGCTTGATACACCTTTTGCTTTTTTACTTAGCCAAATTATATGTCAAAGTACCAAGCCCTGCTTTGCCAGCTTGATACCCCGTCGTTGACCTCGGTCGTTTGTCACCCCGTTGCGTCGCCTTGTTTCGAAGACTTAGTTTTTGGATGGCCTCCTATTTGGTACCCGGCTTGGTACCTGGTCGTTTGGCACCCCGTTGCGTCGCCTTGTTTCCAAGACTTAGTTTTTGGATGGCCTCCTATTTGGTACCCGGCTTAGTACTCGGTCTTTTGGCACCCCGTTGTGTCGCCTTGTTTACAAGACTTATTTTTTGGATGGCCTCCTATTTGGTACCTAGCTTAGTACCCGATCGTTTGGTACCCCGTTGTGTTGCCTTGTTTCCAAGACTTAGTTTTTGGATGACCTCCTATTTGGTACCCGGTCGTTTGGCACCCCGTTGCGTCGCCTTGTTTCCAAGACTTAGTTTTTGGAAGCCAAATTTCATACCAAGGGGTGGAGGCATCGTCCGGCTATGGGGGCCAAAGAGACATGTCGGCCATGATATAGGGGAGAAGGGGTTTGGTCACTTAGGCCCAAAAACCCAACCCAACAAGGTCCAGCTAGCTCTTTTAATTATTAATGTTGAGCTGGCCTTAAAAATCTATTAATTATCTCGTAGTTAATTGATGTGATACAAAATGATTTTTATGGGTAAACCAATACCCCACAACTTAGTGTATAAGAATTATGCACTAAGTTGTTGACACTCCTTATACCACCCGAACTTATCTATTGGCTTTGTTGACATACTCGCTTCAACTTCAAAACCACAAATATGACCCAATCTGCCTCTTGCTAGCCTCTTCGGTTCGATGCCAGCTTTACTAGCTAGTAGCTACTAGTAACGAGGGAAACTAATTCCCTTCCTTTCCTTGCTCGGACTCGGCCTCGGCCTCGGGGGTATGGTTACCTGCTGAGATTATGACTCGTCACATAAACCAAAAACAAATCCACCCTTCTTTAGCCAATATTTGGCTTTAATAATCGGTAAGAATAAAGGAAACAAGTCCCTTTGTTTAGTGTTGTGTTTGGATTCACAAAGTGAAAGTTTTCTTTTATCCTCTACGTAACACACACCCAGCCAAACCTTGGCCAAATAAGCCTGCTCTTTTACTCTTGTACCCGGCCCACAAGGCCGCAATTCAAGAAACTCTGTTATGTGACCGGCTTCGGATTAATTACAAAGCCTTACCTTGCTTTACACAGGTACTCATGGATGGCTATTTTAAAAGCGATTACCCACTTTGTCAATTGCCCACACCATTAAACTCACCAAAAATACAAGGACGGTGGACATAGCAGGACTGTTTTTTCCTCCAACCACGATGAAACCGAGCCCCAGTAGGAAATACATCCATAACAAAACTTATTTTTGGCTCCTTACTTCGGCTCCAAGGCTTTATTAATGCTTCTCGATTTCATATGATCACTTCCTTACCAAATTTGGTTAGGATTCTTTCTTCCTCCCCCTTGTAGGATTCTACTTCAATTAAATCTTTTCCATAACTGAAAAGGTTCTCTAAATCCAGCTTCCATAACTCTATAAATAGAGACCTTCCCTTCTCATTCTTCACATCTTCACATACTTCAACCTACTACATTCCAACAAGAGTATCTCATTACCTCGCTGATGAGTACGTGGACGATGACCTTGCAGAGATCATTCTTGGGCACCTCTACCATGGCATGCACACATTGTTGGACCAAGTTACTTATGGTACAACCATCACGGGTTCCGGCCCCCCTTTGGTTGGTGCACCTATGGCTCCAAGCCTACTTCCTAATATTTCGGAAGGAGCTGCCCACCCTGAAGTCTGTAAGCCAAAAACAACTTCTGCTTACTTATGGTCATTACTACAACCATGCTATGTCCTTGGGAAAGAAATCTGAAGAATGCTTCTCCATCTTCCATGGTTTGAAGTCTCTTGAAAGCTTCACCCCCTTCAGACCCCGTCTCCTTGGTCCACCATCATTCACAAGGACTTTCACAATGAGACCCAAAGACGAAGATGAACTTGATGAATATCGATGCTTTGTGCTCCAACGGAAAGATTGGACTTGGGCATGCGACCTCATACTCTTACCTATGGTTCCAAAACGAGACACATTAACCGAGGTTTACAACCCACACTTTGTGGCTCGTCAGTTTGGGCTCATGCAAATGTGGCCATTATCTCTGCCTCACTCACCCAACTTTGCAGCACCCATGAAACGCAAGTCTTTGAAGGCAAAAGAGGTGACAAGTTGATAATGTGGCCACAGTATACAAGGGGAGAGCACGAAGTTCAAGTGTTTTGAGCCAAGGAAGGATGCACTGTCCCGGGTCTTTCAAATTGTCTTTCCCGACAAAATGGAGAACTTGAGTCTTTTTGACGGTTCAGCCCCAGTCATAGCACAAGGTTTGCTTGACAATGTTCCAAAAAACACCAGCTCGGAAGCCATTAACTCCAGCAACCAAGGCGAGAGTGTCAAAGAAACCGGCCCCTCCTCCATCACTCCCAAGGCTAGAGGACGAGCATCTAAGCTTCCTCCCTATCAAACTCTTTGCCATACTGATTTTTTTCCATATCTTTTGAGTTCTCCTACATCTTTGTTTTCAAATGTAGGTCTTAGCTTAGATAGGCCCCTTAGATCCACCAAGCGCAAGGTTTCTTTGAAGGATCCACGAGTAAGTGCTAAACTATCTTGTTAGTTCATCTTCCTTAGATCAATAACCTAATAAGAATTTTCCTTGCTGTCTTTGTCATCAGTTGAGAGCGAGGAAAAAAACCTCTCTAGAGACAATACCAGTGACAAAGACGAAGGCGATGAGGGTTCGAAGCTAGTAGATGACAACTCCACCGATGAGGACCTCGAGGACCGTCCCACAAAAATATCTCCAAATTCGGACACCTATACTGAGCCTACAGAGCCCAACTGAATGGAGATTTTGGACAAGACACCTTCAACCCTGCAACCCCAACAATCTCTTTTGTCTATCCATGAAGGTCTCACCCAGCTGAAGGATTCAAACCTCTCATCGTCAAGTTTGGCAGTGACAAGTGGGTCCCCTTCAGGTTCGATCAACCCAACGGTTGTACCTCACACTTCATCATCCGGCCCTCTTGGCCTTGGAAATCCTACTCATAAGTTTCCCGCCTCTACTGCTCCCTCACCATCAAAAGGTGCAACCTTCCAAGTTCCGACGACCAACTTGTTCTCATCAAGCCATCAAGTCAACGTCTCTAACATAGCTATCTTGGAGAGCAACCTCCTTAATGACTTGGTGGGTGGCTTCGGCAACAAGCACACCAGGGGTCTTCTCAATGTCAACGACTATTAGCTCCCCTCCGAGTACCATGATGCCCATGGTGCTTTAGATGGATCTAGCATCGGACCATCCACTATCAACATGGCTGAGACAGAGCGGGCTATATTCTCTTCCTCTACCACTCCAGAATTCCACACCACCACCGGTAACACTACTCCAACCGTGGTAAGCGCCACAACCTACTCTTTTTTTTATATATAAATCAGTTTGTCAATAACTTAATAAAAACCATTGCAGGATCTAAGTTCGCTCGACCACAGCTTGGAGCTCCTCCAAAACTTAGAATCACTTGGGGAGGAAGCCCAATTCGTTGCCCCCTCTTCTGAAGCCACACGTGCTGGCCTCACTGAGCTGGACCAGTACCTCTCACTCACTCCCTAGCGGGCAATCATGGCTTCCAAGAATCGCTGGCCTTGACAAGCTCTTGAGTCACTATCCAGTCTTGTTGTTCTCAACCCATTGCCAGGACTTGACATGAATAAGATGTCCATTTTACAATATGCCAGGAATAGTCTCGGCTTCATCATATAAGCAATGGAGAAGGCTATCCACGAACAAAATCAACTTGTTAACAGGGAATCCATCCAAGCCAACTACACCAAAATGACTGCTGACAGCAAGACTATCCGTATGTTTGGCCCAGCTTTTAGAAGTGCTTTTCGCCTGCAAAAGCTGAAGCAGGGCCAAACACCTGTAAAAGCCCGGCTTTTGAAAAGCCGAAAAGCGCTTTTGTATAACATAAAAGCAGAAGCTCCGATTTAGAGCTTCTGCGAAAAGCTATTTTGAAAATACAAGATTATCCTTACCATATTTTAATTTTATTTCTGAAAATATAATTTTCCTTCATTTATATCATTTTAAAAATAAAATAAATTATAAAATCATATTATTTAAATATAAAAGAAATCTAACAAGATCCATTTTGACTACTTTTTATTGTTTAGAATTTTTATTCATATTTTATATTATAAGTCCTTTATAGTCATTTTACACAATCTCTCATATTAAAAAGCACTTCTAATAGTTTTACAGGCAAACACTCAACTTTTTTTTTTTTAAGTACTTATCTAAAAGCTCCAGCCAGAAGCTGCTTCTGCAAAAGCTACAGCAGGGGCAAACTAAGCTTATGAAGGATGCCCTTATTGGTTCAAGGCAAGAGAAGCAGCTCGCCAAACCAAGATAGCCGAACTCGAGAAAGAGCTTGCCCAAGTTCGTGCAGAAGCTGTCAAGGACCAAGCTCAACATGTTACCATGTCTCAAAAATTCCAACAACTAGTGGGAAAAGCTCTTAGCGTCATGGAAACAATGGGCTCAATGACCCCTATGGCACAACTAGCTCACGAGAAGGACCAAGCCCTCTTGGTATACAACACTCATCTTGCTACCTTCCTCAAGCTGCGAGATGTTGTCAAAGAGGCTCTCCACCACATGTCTAGCTAAATCATCCATACTTCTTTTTTGCTCGCTCTTATGAATTAAGACATTGAGCTTAGCCATGGATTTGGCTTTTATTTTCCTCTTTTGGTATTCAGATGACTCGGCCTTTTAGTGTTTGCCCTTGGCGGGATGTTCTTTTCATTGGCTTAGTTATAAATTTCCATTCTATTAATGATGTGTGATACCAATCTACTTGGCTTCACCATCTCCACTATCAATGTTATTCTTTTATCTCACTAAACCCTCCATGTTATGGCTATCTACTCAAGCCATGCTTCATCATGAGGGCACCATGCCTTGCCTTAGTGTGTGGGAGTCTTGGCATGCCAGCCACGGTGGTGGCTTGCTAACATTGAACCCCTTGACACCCCACGTCCCAAAGAGAAGGGACGTAGGGTTTGAGATACTTACCATTGATCAATCGATCATGAAACACACCATCTAAATCTTTTAACCAGTAAGCCTTATTGGGCCGGGTGGAATGGACAATGAAGGGTCCACGCTAGTTAGGAGACCACTTGCCAAACTTGGAATCCTTTTCCCCAATGGGTAAGTGTAATTTCCAGACTAGCTCTCCTTCTTCAAAGGCCTTGTGCTTAACCCTCTTGTTGTAAGAGCATGCTATTTTGTCCTTCTGCACCCTTATGTTATCGAGTGCTTTGAGTTGGAGTTCATCAAGATCGCACAATTCCAACATCATGGACTCATAGTACTCTGAGGGTGTTAGCTCATGTTGCCTCATGTACCTCAATGACTTGACTTTCATTTCGAGTGGCAGGAAGGCCTCATGGCCATATGTTAGAGAGAATGGGGTCACTTTGTACTACTACGTGGTGACATTCGATAAGCCCATAAGGCTTCCGACAAGACTTCATGCCATTTCCTCGGGTTATCCTCAATCATCGTAGACAATATACCCTTCACCACTTTGTTGGATGCTTCAGCTTGACCATTGGCTTGAGCATAGTAAGGATTGAGTGTATGATTTTGATGTCGTGTTCTTCGGCAAAAGCCATCACTTCCCCTCCCGTGAACACGGTACCCTGGTCAGTGGTTATGGTGGCTGGCAAGCCGAACCTATGTATTATATTCTCTTTGATGAACTTGATGATTTCTCCCTGATTGACCACTGTAATTGGCTTGGCCTCCACCCACTTGGTGAAGTAATCAGTTGCCAAGATGACAAATGTATGTCTATCAGAAGATGTTGGATAAATATTTCCAATCAAGTCCATGGCCCATCCCATGAAAGGTCGAGGCTTGATGATAGACTTCAAGTCGATGGCCGGAGCTCTTTGCACCGGGCCTTGTCGTTGACAAGCCTCACACCCCTTAGCAAAGGTGACACAATCTTCCCCGATGGATGGCCAGTAGTACCCATTTCAAAGAAGGGCCTACTTGATGAGCACCACATATCCCTTCGTGAACCTCACCCATGGCTTGTAGGGACTCCTTGCCCCCAAGCACTTCAATAGTAAACCGTCTGGTCTCCTTTTGAATAGGACCTCATCCAACAAGACATAGTTCCTTGCCTTGAATTTGACGGCCCGATCCACATCCCTTGTTAGATTCTTCAAGTATGCTACCAAGGGGGTACTGACACGCTACAACACAACACCAAACTGCGATCAAGTGTAATCGCAGTCCAGGAATGCAGTAAAGAGGCAAGTCTAATTATCAACCCGGGGTCTAGATCTACTGCCTACTCCGTGAATATCTATTATCTAGCAAACTAAGTTGATTGATTGTGGTTATAACTAAAAGCAGTAAAAAAGCAGGAATTGATTCGGTTTTCTGAAGCAAGGAAGAGTCACTCGTGAATGAATCCCCCTAGCTCCTTAGTTAGGTCTCAGTTGTAATTACCCTGGGTTGATTTACTGCTGATTAAACTGCGGAAGATACGATAGTAGCTTGGAATCTCTTAAGCTGACCTAGCCCTATCAGTCTAACTACCCGGCAGACGACTAGTCTTCACCGGGATAGAAAGCTGAAGCAATAAGCACAGAACTCCACTACTGGAATTGGATTCCAGTACAAAGCAGTAGACTGACTAACTCTCGTATAGCCAATCTACTACTACCGAATGAAGAAGCTCTCGCAACCTAATCAGATTCTATCTATCTCAGGTTGCAGCAGAAATCAAGAAAAGTTTATCAGGCTTCATTCAATTCAATGAATCATGCATCATCCGATTAAAACCAAACAGTATAGCAATCCCAAGTCATTACAATCATGATCCCTACACATGGAACTAGGGTTCTTCATACCCAAGTGAAAGAGGGTTCTACTCCATAGAGAGAGAGAGAAAAACAGAATACAAAGCATTCATACCCATAACAATGGGAATAATCTGCTCTGGGATGATGATTTTTCACTCCTATGATGATCTCAAAGCTCGATTTGATGAAACCTAGCTCCAAGATCGCTTCTAGGGTGAGTTCTTCGCACTTTCTCTCTCTAGGGTCTGGTTTAGCTCTGAAAAGTCCATCCCCTCAATTGTGGCTTGAAATTGGGTTAAAACCCAGAATTCTCGACTCACACGGGCAGGCCACACTGCTGTGTGGCTTTCCTAGGCTACCTGTGGGAGTGAGCAAAACGCAGAGTTTAGATTAAGTGACTTCAGCCATCCCACACGGCCGTGTGGCTTTCCAGGGTGCCCGTGTGAGTTCCCTGGAATTTCCACACGGCCACAAGGGGTCCCCTACACGGTCGTGTGGCTTTTAGGCATGCCCGTGTGGCTTCTCGGCTTCTCGACAAATGCTCAAACTTCGTCCAATCGACCCCGAACTCATTCCCAAACCTTCATTCACGTACTAGGACCTGAAATATCACAAACAAGCACAACCTAGTGTGAAATCGGCCTAAAACCCGAGAATCAACATCTCAAACGGCTCAAGAATAGGGGTAAAAACATGTGCAATTAACGGTCTATCGGGTACGCCAGTCACCGGAATCCTCTTCAATAGTAAACACATCTACCCTTTGTTTAAGTCTCGCATGTAGTGGGTTGAGCGTTCGAACAAAAATTTGCTCTCCCCCTTCATGAGCAAACTCTTTGAACCCCGAAGCCAATTGTCTAAGTAGTTGGCCTTGCCATTGTCCTGGCAAGGAACATACTTGATGGAGACATTATCAAAGTGGGTAATTAATATTTGGACATAATCAAGATATGTCTCTAGTATGCAATTTATGCATCAAAATTCACCAAGTACTTGGTAGACTACTAGTTGGGAGTCCCCTTGGATATTAACACTTTTGACTTTCAAGTCAACAAGCATCTCCAGCCCCACCACTAAAGCCTCATACTCGACTTGATTGTTAGTACATGGGAGATCAAGTGTAAAGGCAAAGTGCATGGCATGCCCTGATGGGGAAGTGAGGACCACGCCAGCACCTGCTCCAGACCGTATCTTTGATTCGTCAAAGTATAAGGTCAAAGGGGCCTCCTCCACCATGTCTATTTCTACCAACTCAGCTGGGCACATCCACACATGGGTGGTCAGCTAAGACGTCAGCCAATGCTTGGCCCTTTATGGCCTTTTGAGGCACATATTGCAAGTTGAACTCAGATAGTGCAAGTGTCCACTTACCAATCCTCCCATGGATGATTGGCCGGGACAACATGTACTTTATATATCAGTCTTACATATGAGTCGCACTTGAACAAGCATCAAGTAGTACCTTAGCTTCATACAAGAAAAATATAAGGCTAAACATAACTTCTCTATAGGGGAGTACTTCTTTTCTGCCTCGTTTAACAGTCTACTTAAGTAGTACACGGTCTGTTCATGGCCAGAGTCACTATCTTGAGCCAACAGACACGCTATAGAGGTGTTAGTTGCTGAAAGGTACAACATCAATGACTGATGTGGGATTGGAGAGTTGAGTACCGGCGGGGTTGCCAGATACTTCTTGATGTCATCAAAGGCTTGTTGATGCTCTTGAAGCCATACAAAATCATCTTCCTGCTTAAACTCAACAAAGGAGTTTGGCCAGCACAGTTCGAGATGAAACGTCGAATGTAGTTAACTTGGCCGAGGAACCTTTCAAGCTCTTTCTT